TGGTGGCAGGAGCTGTGCCTGAGTCAGAAGGTGCACGTCCTGTCAGCTGCCAGGGAATGCCCTGTGACGCGCTTTCGGCTGAGGGGATGGGAATGAGGATGAAGGTGTGTGGGACCGTGCTCTGGAGATACCATCGTTGTCATGAGCTCATGCGTTCTCATTCCAGAGCCTGTGAGAGCCTGGTGAGACTGAGGGCATCAGAGCCAGGTCTCAAGCGCTGATCTGCTCTTCCTGCATCCCAGGCTTTGCATGGCCTTTTTCTGTCAGGCTGATAGTAGGGTATTAGGAAGGTGACGAAGTTCTCATCATGATCATCTGGATGGTCATCACAATTTATAGAGCTGAGCAACAGCCACTGTTTAACAAGCTTTCCTGACCTAGCTGAGAGGGCCCCCAAAGGTAGGAAAAGGCTTTTCTGCAAGGAATGGTTCCATATACTGGACATCTTGAGCCATAAAGGAATTAACCAAAGGCTGGCATGAGGCAAAATGTGCCAACTTGTGAGTGACTATAAAAAGGTGAATGAAGTTGTAGTGGTCAGGCTCTCTACCAACACCAGAATGGAGAATGGGAGGAAAACAAATGAAGCTGTAAAAGAGAGGTTTAAAACACAGGAGTTATCCCATTACCCAGTGGAGTCAGATGAGGGATCCCCTGCCATAGGACCTATTGAGCAGTTTTCTAGGTTAAGAGGCAATTGAGTGTAAAAAAATCCCAACACCCTGGGCAACAGAAAGACCATTTCTGGATCCAGGAGCCTCAGAGGGACAGAGCACTGCAGCTGGGAAAACATTTTGGTGAGGTATAATTACATGCTTAGCCTGTTCCTGTGCTCTCCCTTAGGCATCCACTATTAGTCACTATCAAAGACAGGACAGTGGGCCAGGTAGCTGACAAATCATTTTTATGGGTATACAGTGTGACTCACAGCACTGAGAAGTCCCTAGTGCTGGTTACTTCCTTGCCTCGAATCCCAAAGCAGTAAAACCAACGCTGTCACAACGCTACCATTATAACAGGTTGTGGCTTGTATCTGCTGCCATGATCAAGTTATGCACCTTTGGTGAGTGTCCCTTCCAGGTGCCGTGGGAAGCGTTTGCTTGGTGCATCTTAACATCTGAGAGCTCCGGCCCTTCCTCAGCTCTGAGCATGCAGCCCGTGAAAGAAGCTTCAAACTATCTCTTGATCTTACTTAGCAATATACAACCAGCATTGCTCAGCTTAACATATTAAACCATTTGAAACTGTCACATGCTGGGACTCCAAAAATCAGGCAGAAACATATATTTCATCAGTTTTAACCTAATATCTTTAAGAGGTGTATTTGTTTATTGGCTTTGGTGTGCACTGTTAGCTTGCATCTTAAAAGTCAGACACGGAGGCGTTTTTCTGAAATCAAAGCGTTCGGACTTGTTACGAGAGCACGTATTTTGGTCTTCCTTACCTCTTGCTTTTGGGGGTGGTTTTGCAGTGATGACATGAGGCCTCCTGGAAGAGGCGGAGGAAAAGTCTTAGATACTTGACATGATGTGCCCAATGACATGAGCAGTCTCTGCTCGTTGTGACGAGAGCAGCAAGGTAGCCTAGCGCACACTTGGAAATGTCATCTCGGGTCAGCTCAGCCACTTTGGAAGTGGCCACTTCTCTCACTATCAGTAGTTAACAGCTGGTGGTTAAGAGGGCACCAACAAGGTACTTAACAAAGCTGACAGTTCCCAACACCCCTCCTAACTTAACAAAGCTGACAGTTCCCAACCCCTTTCCTAACCCTTTTTAGCTACAACTTGTGAGAAGTCATGCTGTGCTGCCACAGAGCAGCTGAATCGATCCTGGTTTCAAATACGGACATTTATTAAAATTGAGATCTGTGTGTGTCTTTAACTGTTTTAATTCTCAACAGTGGAGAGAAAAATTGCCTTGCCTGGAGTTTTCAGTGCTACAGGCAGCAGAGAGTAAAGTTTTGCAAACAGCAATGTCTCTTAGACCAGATTCCAACTTGCTCACTGGGAGGAGGAGAATTAAATATACCTAATCGTAGGCAACTGTACCATCAGAACTATCCCCATCAATATGTGAGCTGCAGAGGAATAAGGTGCTCCCCAGTCAAGGTAACATGTAAAAGCACTAAAATGTGAGCCAAGTTTGAATATAAGGAATAAGGGCTGCACATGAAGGAAGATAAATGAGACATAAAATGCAAGGACTAACCTGTGCACCCTGGAATAAACAGTCCTGTGTAAATGGCATGTAAAACGAAGGGGGAGGGGGAAGAAATGGAAATAAATAGAGTTCTGCATGGGCAAAATAAAACAACGACATTCAATATAGTAACGAGCTAATCCCACCACTTGATAGTGAGAGAAGTTTGGTAGTGCATGTCTAGGAACATTCCTGAAGAACAAGTGGGTACGAGTCACACATTTCAGATGTGGTCGGCAGTTTAGAACTTCCCTAATGGTAATGGGCATATTTTCTGGATATCTGAGTCTCCTCTTTTCAAAAGAAGCATCTTATCAGTGTGTTATTTCAACAAATACATACAAATGCTCACGATAGTTCTGAAAAACAAAGCAGTTTCTGTAAAGGCAGCCAAGCTGACAGAGAAAAACAGCTTTGTTACCTCCAGAAGTAAGCTTTGCAGGTCTGCAAGCTGCCCACAGAGGCGGGCAGCAGTATGGAGCAAAGACTGGGCAAAAACTTGAACAACACATTTTTAACATTTTGACACCTACACGCTCTGAGATCATTTATTTAAGATCAAATTCCTGCCAAGTCTTAGCTAAAAGACCAGAAAAAAGTGTGGAAGCCCCACTGAATCAAAGCCATTTTCATAGTGGCAGCTTCCAAGTGAGGAGAAGGAACCCTTACCTGTTGGTATTTTGTTTGTTTGTGATTGTGCCCCCCTATCTTGAGATAAAACCATTTTGTCTTCAGTGTATCATTTTAATTATGCTGTTACTCGATTGTCCTCTATCCCAATAGTTTTGTTCTCTCATGGGATGTAGTTTGCGTCTCTGAGCCCAGGTATCGGCTCTGAAAAGAAGCGTTTTGAAATACAGTTTAGAAGTCAAATGAGGTTTGTATTTAAATTATAGTTTCTGTTTCTACCCTCAGCTCTTCCACAGAAGTGTTGTAGGATGGTCAGGAATCTTTCCCCAGCTTTCACAATACGTTTATTCACAGCCACTCTTGGGCCAGCATCATCTGTTATCAGTTGAGGTGTCTCACACCCACCTGCATTTTTCCTGTCCAAACACATACTTTAAGCAACCATATCGTCTTGCAGCCTTCACCTTTGCCAGATGGATGCACTGAGATACAAGACCTCACATACATGCCTACTCATACATATGTGGCAGACACAGCACCATGTCCAGGCTGTCCTGCAAGCAGCATAGCCATGTGAGCACAGTCCCACACCCAGACTGACCAGGGGGAAAAAAAAAGTAGGCTTTCAGATCCAAAAATACCATTCCAGAAATGTGTGTGGGCAGCTCACACATAATTGTATATATAAAAAAAATGCTACATCTCTCCCTGAGTTTTTGATATGCTGTGATTTTGTAATGTCAAGTATTGTTCTTCTGACACTGGTTTCTATCAGCTTCATGACAGAAGTTCAGTGCTGCTCATAAGCCCTACCTTAAGTTACGCTCTTCAGAAACCCACCTCTTCAAACACACACAAGTATATGAATATGATACAATCCATTTTATGCTGCATTTCTATTTGGTCTTCTAGAACTTCTTTTTCCCTCCCTGATTGATAGACAATTATCAGACACACACAATTCACAGTTTGACTTAAGACAAATAACTTCACAAACTTAAATCTGGAAGGCTTGTTGCTATTATAGATGAGCCACATTTACTTGGTATGTTAATATTTAAATGTGTGGACATGGGGAATGAACTGTAACCCATTATTACAGCTATTTACTTTCTTTTCTTGGATTTTATGAATATCAAGTTTATTTGCTTGTAAAATAAATGAATTTCTCAATTGTATGCTCTTTTTGCAACACAATTATTCCTACCATGCGATCTGCTTCACAGTGCTCAGTTAAAGCAGTTACCCTTCAGTTAAAATCCATAGATAATCAGGCTGAGGAGGAACAAATTAGGCTCAATGGCCACAGGCTCTCATTTCTTAATTTCTGGGCAAGCTTGGGCACATTCTAGGTAGTTACAGGAAAAATTATGCCCGTGGTTCCCTTCTCTGGGGACTTTCTGTTTCCCAGGAGTTTCTTCCCACAGCAGCCCAGGTGCAAGCACACGAGCAGCTTTCTGGTGGGATAAGAATGCCTTTGGCAAGACAGGCTTCCTCACTAATGTAGAGCCTACCTTCAAGGTCTCCTACCTAATTAATGCTCTATCCTCCTCCTTCAGGCCTAGCACAGGGATCAGGGTCAAGGAGATATTTATGTACATAATCCCAGTCTGTTCTAACTCTTCAAGGCACATTCCTGGTCTGCAGCCACTCTGTCCTGTGACGCAAGGCTGCTCACAACACAGGGACAGCCTGGGGAGACCAGCCCTATGCCGTTGTCACCTCTCCCAGCACCTCCCCTGTTTTTCCAAAGCATGGCCCATTTTCCCATCATTTAAGGAGCACTAAATTTAAAATTAGCATATGTACTATGAAGGACTGCTCCCATAGTGCAGAAAGCATACTAAATGAGCAGCTATTCAAAGTATTGTGTATTACCTAGGATAAATATTCCTCGTAAGGCAAACGTGCAAGCTCTGTTTGAGGCATATGTTCCTTATAGTAATGTTTTCCAGCCAGAAAGAACCCTCCTTTTCCAGTATCAGCTGTCTGGCACCAGGACTTGTTGACTTCCCCATGGATTTAGCAAAAGGAAAAACTCGGTATGCCTGCGGGCATTTTGTGAATGCAAACTCACTGCCTTTTACTTACAGCATGGACTCTGAAACTAAACATGAACAACTGACGCCAGCTGTAGTTGTACATACAGTACAGCACAAGAGGACAAAGTATAAAGGAGAATTTTCTTTATTTTTAAATATTAGTAACACTGCACAAAACAAAAAAGTGGTACTTAAGTGACAGAAAATCAGTACTCAGTCATAGTTCATATTAACCATAATTTAAATACCCTAAGAGTTCATGTACGGTTATATGTTTGCACAGGGTTACATTGGGTAACATAAGCATTTGAAGCTAAACTATTCAGATACCAGAGACACCAGAATTTGTTATATCATGCTAGAATGCAGACTTGATTTTTCTGTTTAGTTTCTTCTTTATGCTATTATGTGCATTCCAACACCTTTCAAATGTTAGGATGAGTGAGCTTCTGCAGGAACTGTGGATTTTCAATATAAGTCTGCTACATCAACATATTGGCAAAGGGAAGACAAAAGAAACAAAACAACAGAACCATAAGCTGCTAACTCCTACCTGGAGGTTAAAAAAGGAGGCAACATACTGACAAGAAACATGCAGGTAGATGCTTAAGGCAGCGGAAGGGCTCTGCACAAACTAAAAGGTTAAAAGGAGCGATGTGTCATGCACATGAGACAAGTATGGGAAGCAAGGAAGTAATCTTGCCAGAAAATACGTATTTCTTTCAAAATTAAAACATCTTTTCAAGCTAAAAAGAAATTAGTTCTACAATAAAAGTGATGCAAAATGCTTTCATACATAAAGGTATGAGTTCCTTGCAGAAACAACTTGATAAAATCTTACACGGATGCTGAAAATGTTTGTTATCTAGAGCCTACTCAGCAGAAACAAAGAGTTTTAAAGTAGCACTTAGGTCATTTGTCTCTAGGTTCTGAAAATAAACTCTTAGACTAAGGAATGATTTCACTAAATGATTCATTGGGAGTCAACTATGTTTAAGGAAATCAGTAGGAGTGGTTACAGGAGACCATCATTACACTAGCTTTCTTAAAATCAGAATAGAACCTCATGGTACAATTTAAAATGAAGGAACATTTTAATAGGGACAAACTTTTGCTGCCCAGCTGGGGGGGGGGGGGGTGAGGGGGGAATAATCACTGTAAAAGTAACTTACTAAGCTTGCATAAATCACCCTATAAGAGCTCATGTCTCCATCCCATTCCCAATGACATGAGTGAATAGGACTCTTCTTTCAACAGGCCTGATGTTGATGCAGAGTAACCAAACAAACAGGCATTTACACAACCCCTTATATCCTAACAAGACAAACACTAGACTAGAGTCATCTTAGTCCCAGGGAAGGAAGAGGTAAGAAATTCTGTAACATTTCCAATTTTCAAACATATCACGCTTCCAACCAAGATAAGCCCCGTTCAAAATCCCTAACCCCACTGGCAAGAAAGCCGCTCCGTGAAACTAACAAGAATAACATAGTGCAATTTTAGTACAGTTTTAAACATGAGTCACTTTCTTGCTAGCAGTGTGAACAATCAAAAAATATACACAAAAGAGGTGTGCTCAAACGTAACATTAAGTTGTCATTATTATAACCGTATTGGCATGGCAGAGAAGTCCATTTTAGTAACTCCCTTTGGTTGACTTCTTCTTCTTCTGGTCCTCTCTCTGCTTCTGCTTCCTCCTCTTGCTGCCTTCTTTGTACCCTGAAGGAAACATGGCTTGTAAAACACTATTCACAGCATTCATGGACTTTTCCCTCTAGCAAAAGCACATGTTCTCTGAATGGTTTAGTGAATTTTAAAGAAAAGGTCTGACTTTCTAACATGTTTTGGTTTTTTAAGTGATGATTTCTACTATATCCCCAGTTCTATTATATCCCTTCCATGGGACAGAAAGAAAATACTGTCAATCTTTGAAGTTTGAAAAGATCCGGAGAACTTTCAAAAGACTTCAAAGCCATTCAGGAAAAGCTTCAAAATTAGAGCACATGCAAACCCAGAATAATTTTCAGAACAGAAGTAATAAATAATACTTATGAAGCAGGAACTATTTAAGTACTGGCAATTCCTGCTCACAGTAGTCAGAGTTACCATGGTATTTGCATTTTCGTTTTAAGACTAGGGAATGCCAAGAACCCCGAGTAAATAAGATGCTCAGTGTTTACCAATATGCATTTTATATACAGGTGATCAGCCTGCTCATGCTTAATTATGCACCATAGGTTATATTTACTGCAAATCCAATGGTGCATGGAAGCATCGAGCAATTTGCTACAGGTCCAGCAGGCACAAGCCTCCCACGATGTGGTCATCATCCCAGTGTTCCCCCCCTTAAAAGATGAGCAAAAGCAGCTCTTGCTCTGCACGACTTCCTCCAAGCTTGCAGTAAAATGCAACTTGCAGACTTGCATGGACAGTGAACTGCGCAGAGCCAACACCACATCTGCCCAAGTGCACCCAAATCTAACCTCAAAGCTAGCAAATATTTCCCTCGGGCAATCATTCTGTGGTGCCTTGAGACAGCTGGAGGGATCCTTCAGCTCAGCAGTGCTCTGCACTGGGAGATGGCACAGTCTGGTGAACAGGGCCAGCACGGAGCAGAGGAGCCCCTGCAAGCCAGCTGAGAGGTAAGGCTGGGAGTCACAAGAATGGCCCAGGCAGGGCCCAGCTCCACCTGTCTGGGAATCTCTTCTTTTCCCCTCCAGTCTGCCTGCAGGCAGGCAGAGATGACCCCAAGGGAGCCATGTCACCATTGCCTAAAGAGACATGGTTCTCCATCAGTTTAGCACCAACAGTAAAATTAAGATGGGAAAAGGAAGCGGTGGGAGGTCAGGGGAGTATGAAGCCACACTGTGGCTTAAGTTTGCTCCTAATCAGAGCTCCTCCCAAGTGCAGTTAAATGTTGTGCCCACAGCAGAGCCCTAGGTCTTTGGTTTAAGACTTGGGGAGAACCATGTGATAGTCTTCAGGCTAAAATCGCTTGAGACATTACAAAAAGCTTGTGTGTTAGGAGGAAATTCACTCCCCTTCGTAGCATAGAGAAGCTGTTCCTAGGTTATCATTCTAGCTCCTACACTGGATCAACAGCATGACTTCATCTTTTGCAATCACCCGAGTCAAGAAGCAGGATATTTACTTAGAAATTCTGCCATGAGTGATTAGCCTGAGCAAAGTTAGAGTGGAAACCAGCTGTATTGTTTAAGGAAGAGAAAAACTGGCAGCGCTTTGCAGAACTGCAGATGACTATCACCTCTGCACCCTGCTACCCTCCTGAGCTACAATCCTGCCCCAGGGACACTGTGTGAACATCTCCTCATTGAAAACTCCACCCATGAAGTTTACTTCAGTGTGAGCTCCTCGGTCACTTACACAGCGTCAAAAATAGGATCCCTTGGCATTTAATTTACTCCTGTAAGGCACAGATCCCAGAAGGGCTCAAGCGTCTCTTTGCTTTCCCACAAAGCCCAATGGAGGCAGGAGAGACATGCTGACTCCTGCAAATCAGCCATTGGGAGATGTTACTCAAAGCATTTTTCCCTTTACTGGAGGGAAAAACAGCATCATATCAGCTGATCAGAACTAGTTCATGTAATAACTATGAAACATTAACATTTGGGGAAGTATCATTAAAACCTAACAGGTTATTAGCTTCATAATTTTCTCATTTTTCATTTTCAAAACACTGTCAGTATTTCTAACAGGCTCCCACATCCAGGCACAATTACATCTGATACTGCTATTTATATCACAATACTTCATTTTTCCCCCCCAACAGTCCATTTTCTTCAAATGTTTGAGATTCTGAAAGCAATTCTAGCAACTTTGCCTTAAAAATCCTGTGAGTCCGTGTAAATTATGACTCGAAATGAATGCCACATAATTCATTGTCCTACAAATGAAACAACCCAAATGTTAAAAATAATGTGGTATGAAGATATTCAGGCATTTGACAACACAGTCTCCTACCAGCCACCAGAATGATAAGGGTGAAAAGTGGAAATCTTTCAAGTGTTATCACTGACACACAGAAACAGATTGGCCAAAGCAGGAGATAACACACAAATACAGAGTATTCCTCAAGAGAAAACTGCCAGGTCTTTCAGTTCTGAGCCTGCTGTGATAAATAATTTCACTCTCGACCATTTCCTTTTCTACCCCCACCTAAGAAGAAAGGATAGGTCAAACTTTGCCAGGCTTTCAGCTCCATTGATGCAATGCTGGGTGATAACAGCTACAAACCTGATCCAAGCAAGTGAAGCAGCTCCTAACAAAAATAAAACTGCACACTAAAGACGTAACCCTTTGGTACTCCTTTCACTTGAACACTTCAACCAGCACTCATTAAAAGCACATTTAGCTGCCTTGGTTACAAGACTAGCCCCAAAGTCACGAGAGAACAAAATCTGCTATTTGATTAATCTGCAGTGATTCTGTGTCCTGGCGAGTTGCCAGCATCGCAGTGGTCATAGAAACAACAGTTCTGGCCTTGGATAAGGGCTTCTCAAATTCCCACCCTTAAAAGCAATTGTGAGCAATCTTTACTCTAGAAATGCATTACAGGGTGGAGGGAGAATGGGTTGCTGGGAGCTTCCCCAAGCTTTGACATTAGGAAAACAGATTAACTCAAATGCAAATCCACCACCCTAACTTGGTATGTTCTTGCTTTAGTCAGCTGCCATGAGCAGAGATGGATGAAGCAAGGATCCACACCATTTGGAATTACACCTGATTTACAACCAGGACAATTCTTGTCTACAGCAAACAGCACTGGCTGACCTGCTCTTTTCATTTTGTCCCCTTCTCTTCTACTTCTGGAAGAGCCTAAAGGAGCTATTCCAGCTTTCATAAAGATGCTGAAGGATGAATCCAACTTTCAACGATGCTTAGTAGCAACACCTTCAACCCCTCATCAAGGACCCAAAACAAATTGGGAAACCTCTCTGCTGTGTCCCAGATTGACATTCCTACTTCTCTGCCATCTGCACCTCCCAAAGTCACAGGTTTGTTCAGTCACTGACTATGAAACTTGTCACATTCTTGGGCGGCAACTACAAAGGGAGGTGTGCACATCAAGTGATTGATCCAAAGGGACAAGTGTCCTACCCAACCCATCTGTGGTGTCCTACTTCTTCCTGCTCTGCCCGACATCTGCCTGCAGTACCAGGATGCAGAGAGCAGCCATGGGTCTGCTCCACCTTCCTTCTGCCGGCACAGAAGAGCATAGGAGTCAGCAGAAGGAAACAAGGTGTTCAGTCATGACCAGTGATTAACAAGCAGCATTGCTGCTTCTTGACCTACATCCATTAGTAAGATAGGCCTTGGCCTGATTTTTATAAATCTCTTGCAAAGGTGAAGACTTCAGAGGACTTTCTTTCCACTTTCAGGCTCTGAAGCACTGCAGTTGAGGTGGGAGGGATTCACGCTTTCTACTCAAGTCCATGAGAAAATGGGTTTTGAGCGCTACTATTTGCTCAGATTGTGGTCAGTCTTTTGCCCATCTTTAAACCATGAAAGCAGCCATAGCTCATGTACAAGTTGGGTTCTCCAGTGTTTCCCAATTTTTTGCTCTTAGAAAGATCTCTCTAGTTAAAACAACAAGTTGTTCTTTCACAGGTAGCTAGCTTACTTCCGGGTTGCAGCCACCATCTGTTATTTTAGATGAGCCATACTTTCATATGCCATTATAAAAATTCACCCAAAATCACAGCTCTAGTATAATTTTATGTGTGTGACTCAATTTACAATTACAGCTTTACACTTTCACATTCCCTCCTTTCAGTCCAAGCCACTGCCCAACACAGACCACAATCTGACCTACTAATTCTCTCTCCACATACATAGCTCCTGGCCCATGCCACAGAGCATCACAGAGAGAGAACCTGCCTTTATATACAGGCCTGAGGTGACAAAACGTCCCACCCTGACTAGGTATGCTGCTTCACTGTTTAATTATCCCCACTGTTAAATCCAAGGAGCGAGTTCTCCAGTTTCACTGGCCAACCCAGTGATGTAATTCCAACTTCGATGTCTGAGGGGACTGAAAAACTTCAGCCAACTTACTGGGGCCTGCCTTCATGCTTGCTCACCATACTATTTTCGATACCAATTTTGCCTAGAATTGCTACCAAAACATACCAAGCCAGATGCAACCTACTTGCTTGCTATTAAGATAATACTGTTACTGAATAGAGTCCAAGGTTTTACTCCCACATGGCAAGCAAAAGCTTGCAAGGCTATGGAGCCTTGGAAGCCATTCATGGGCAACCCAGCTACCTTCTACAGGAAGCAAATGGGTAATGGGATGCTCTTGTACTAGCAGCCAAAAACCATGTGTGAAGGCAGCTCTGGCTAAGCCAAGGAATAATCAGCCAGCCTTCAAAACCAGCCAGTCTTCCAACTCTCTGCCACAGAAGAACATGGCTGTTATCCTGTCCCATCACACACAGCTACAGCCAGGGGATGTGGAACAAAGGGAGAGTGAACTCCCTCCCATCCACACCTCCAGCATTCCTCACGCATTAGATTTACACAGAAAACAGTGGCTTTGCTTTCCTTTCTTTTCCATTACATGCCTGAATACAAGTATGTAAGGGAATTATAAAGTAATTAGTTTGGATAACCAAGCACATAGATTTTACTAGTTAGTAAAGTGTAATTCAGGAAAGCGAATGCCGGTAAAAAGAACGGAGACTGCATTAAGGATGAAATAAACTAAATACAAATGACTCAACTTTCCAGCAGAGGAATCCATGCCAGAAAAGGATCAAGATTAGTTAAGCTTGTTCTTTTAAAGTAGTTTCTGCTTCAGAGATGCCAGTGAATAAAAATGCAGCAAAAATTAATTATTAATGGTGTAAGTTTTAGGTTAATGCAAGCTATTTCATTCAAAAGGAAGAGAAAACCTTGCAATATTATCTTCCAAATAACAATCTTCACATCACATATTTCTCAGCATTTTAACAATTAAACATTTCAACCAATCTTGTTAGATAAAGGTCAAACCTCTCAAACCCAGAGAAGTAGTTTTTTAGGGATAGTTACCACTATCTCTACTATTAACAGGCTGCAATCCCCAGGTCTCTGTTGGCATTAATACCACTTTGAAACGGCTTGGGTACCACCAGTCAGTCATACATCACACTGTCAGGTATTTGCAGGATCTGAATTCTTGTTAAAAAATTACTTGTTTGGAGCTAGAGACCTGTTTTGAGATATGCAATGACTTCAGAGCATAAACAGCTTTATTCTAAAAGTCCCTTATGAAACCAGGAACAGTATGAAACTCAGAGCAATTTCCACTAAAACACAAAGTCTGTGTTAGATGAAGAATCAAATTAAACCCTAATTTTTCTATTAAATATCAGCTGTAATGCCTGGAAATCCTGACTAAGGAGAGGACTCATCTCACCTCTGGATATTGGTTGCCAGTCTAAACAAGTTGGCCACCCTTTCTCCTTGGGCACTAGAGAGAGCTGGCCGCTTCCAGAGGCATTCCACCCCATTCAAGATGAAACCTACCCTCTTTTCCTTCATTTAAATTTGCTATAGACTTGCAAATTAAAACTGAAAAATTCCCACTCTTAGAGCTGCAAAAAGAAAACCATTTCACTGCAGTTGAATCATTAACATCTGAGGATTTGCTTGAAGTGCCCTAGCTGGGACAACGTCTAAAACTGCCTCACTATCTCACTGCCAAAGGCCACACACCAGTGGTAACAAAAGAGTCAGATTTGAAGTGGAACAGTGCCCGTTTTGAGGCCATTGAACTTAACTGTTTTCCACTGAATTGAGTGGGCTTTGGACCAAGGCAGAAAAAGATGCTATTCTTTCCCAGCGCTGGCCTGTGTAAGCACAGCAGCTGTTGCAGTGATCAATGAGAAGCCAAGCGGGAGCACCTAAGTGGTCTACGTAATTACAGCGCTGTGCTGGTGAAGCCTGCTTCCTGGGCAAGGCAGTCAGCAGAAGTGAGCACCCATGAAGGAGAACAGCATTACTGGCCAGGGCTCGTGCACAAACCTCCCAGGGAGGGATTAAGACACTCACGTAGTGTTTTATGACTGACTCGACCAGTCCTTCAGCAGCCCTGTCCGTCAGAGGAACAGTAGGCAAAATATTTAAAGCAACAGTAAAATCTTAGTCTTATTGCAATCAAGTTTTCACCCTGAATCTTTTACAGCAATTCACAATCTACTGGCAGAAGAGAGGGTTTTGTGATTGCACAAATACTTCTAGAAATTCATTTTAATTGCAAACTTGTGCGTCTCAGAGCATAAATAGATTCACAGCAAAAAGTCCTCAGCAATCTGAGAAATTGCTCCAAAATTTGCAAGGTGCATGTCAAACCCAGGTGCTCTTTGGAAGCATAGTGATGTATTGTTATGATTGTAGAGAACCTCAAGCCTCCAAATGCAGAGCCAAGGGTTTGTTTTGCTGGCTACAGATACAGGAGACAAAACCTACAACCCTTGCATGGGAGATTTTGGGATATCAGCCCAGAGGTTACATTCAGGGTTCTGCAGAGGAATCTTAAACTTTTTCTTTTCTTTTTTTAAATAGAAGATTCAACTGAGATACCCATAAAGAGACAAAACTTCCACCAACTGATCAGGAAGACATTGATCTAAATGCGTCTATTTTTATAAGCTGTCATCCCACATGATATCTTCAGGTCTTCCATACAGAAGACAGCGTTACATTTAAAGGCTCAAACACAGCAGAAGTTGGTACAGCACTGGGAGTGTGTCAGTACACATTTTGGGGTACACTGCATGTTTTTCCATGCACTGTGTTTACCCTGAGGAGCCTTGTAAGCTCGCACTTCACCTAATTCATCATCACTACTGAGAATGGCCCTTGCTTTGGGCATCCAAGTAGAAGGGCATCTTCACGTTTCAGAAAAACCTGTCCTGGCAGCCCTGGATGATCTCTGACCACAGGCTCAAATTAAGTAGTTATGAGGACTCTGTTGTCCAAGATTGCCTCTGGACAGTATTGCTAAAACATTACAGACAGGGAATATATCAAAGGACTAATTACTTCCAAAAATAACTGGGACACTCGCTGTGCTTCCGCATTCACCTGAACGGTCTCAGCCTTCTCTACTGGGATTTAGGTGCCTAAAATTGCAGCTTCCAGGAATAATATAAAGTTGCTGAACCTCGCCTTCAACAAAGAAACCAAGCACAATTTAAGTAAATGACTGTGTAAAGTATTGTGATCAGTTAGTCTCTAAAAGGCCTTCACTTTTAAGAACAAAGAGCACAGGCACTTCAGCAGCATAAAGGTATTTGCCTCAGACCCCTGAATATTCCAGGGTGTTTGTGAATCTAGACTAAATTCAAGAGCAGAGCTAAATGCAGGATGAAGGCACACAGGCTGCTGTTCATTATCTACCGGGAAGCTAACATTAGGTCAACACACAGCAACAACCCCTTGCTTGACTTTTCAGCTTTGGCTTTTGACTAGGTGATGGGTCCTTATCTGCGCATTTCTCATCAACATGCTTGTGCACACCTGATAAATAAAAAGGGGTCTCCAAGCTGCTTGTAACTCGGCTTCTATCTTGTTCTTCCACCTCATCACTATTATAATGATAGGCATATCTGGGGGAACTGGCAGGCTTGTGAGACTTCAGCAGGCGAGGGTTGGTTGGCTGGAAAGGCAGGGCTTGTTGTCCTCTCCGTCTGCACTCCTCAGCAAAGGCTTCTTCATCTGCCTCACCTGAAAAAGCAAAGAGTGCAAGAAAAGTGAGCAGCACCCAAAATGCTTATGTTTAGACTGAAAAGATCAAAACTGGGCTGGAAATTGGGTGTCACAAAACTACTGCCTTGGCTGTGGTCAGCTCACAGACAGTCCTGTCTATATGCCAGTGGGGGAGTGTCTGGAGCTCTGTCAGTGGCCTCTCACCACACTGAAGCCACTCAAAAGTCAGCTAGATATGACAACTCAGGGGCCACTGTCTCCTTTTTCCCCAGGGGCAGAGTGGCTGAGCTGAGCACATGGCCTTGGATAATGTTTTTGTCCTGTGCAGAGCATGCCATCTCATCCCACCTCACCTGGACTGTCTGCCTAGGAAGGGCTGGCCCTCCTCAAGGAAAACTTATAGGGAAAGGAGGGAGAAATACCCATGCTGGCTACAGGGATAGTGGGAGAAGAACAAAGCCAGTGTGGGTTCAGAGGGGCTGGATGTTGGATATCCACAGCTCGAAGGATGGTAGAGAAGTGTGAAGGACCACATGAAAATGGGAATTGCGTTGAAGATGCAAGATGTAAGCCCAGTCCAGAGAGCAAGGCCGGCACTCACAACAGCAAATGAACACAATGGAAATAAAAACCTAATGTTTGCAAAACCATGAAAGATGAGTTACTCTCGTCATACTCATGCTGTTGTGCAGAGGACACTTTCCTTTGCTGCAGAGACTCCAACAGTACCAACTCTGTGAAGCAGAGAAATCAGCTACCATAACACAAAGAAAACCCAGCACAACCACACATTGAAAAGCAAACAGTAAGATAACACATAAAAAAGCCAACCAAGGGCATTCAACATGGAAAATAAGGGGTAAAAAACAAAACAAAAAAGTGAGAAGAAAGGTGTGTACCACATTTGTCTCTTAAAGGCTTCTTAAAGTGTCATTAATTCAATTACTTAAGTACTTTTAATAGAGCTGATGAAATACGACGTCATTCTATTTGCATCAAAAGTGGTGTGTCACATTCTGGAAGTTTTTCCTGGGATGTGCCCTGCATCAGCTGCTTCGGGAGGGGTGTGTGCTCTCAGCTAATGCGTGTGCTCTTAATTCATGGCTGGAAAATGCTTTGAAGATGGAAAAGGCACCACGTATGCAGTAAGGAACAAGAGCAGTAATACGCACTTTGTTGTGTGCACCAAACCACCACCACTTTCAAACAAAACAGGTTGCATTGTCTTTACCTTGTAATTGTACATGGGGAGATGCTTCAGAGGGCAGGAGGAAAAGGAAGCAAGGTATGTTTAAAAAGACATTTCACAGTACAATGCAGCACCCAAGGCCTCGTGGGAGGACTCCCAAGACATGCCTCGCATTGCTCTGCTGTGTGTCTGACCACCTGATGTGCATGGACACTATGCAGAGAACCCTTCTTCCTGGGTGATTAAATGTCCATTCCTCCCCCAACGCTCACACTTTTTTACACTGGAGTCTCCTGCACTTCCAAAGGCACAAGCAAACACCACAAGAACGCATGTGATGGCAACACCAAGGATGTGCGTTTTTAAACACCGCCTGCCTGCATCGTACCAATGTAAAACTCTGGGTGTGCAGTTCCCCTTGCAGAAGGAGGAGGCTGGCAGGACAGCTTTATTCTCCTTGCATGGGGCACAGCTCTTCAGCTACAAGAGATGGTGAACAAGGGAAAGCTCAGAAAACAACAGGTACAGAATTGCCACCATTTCCCATAAGAGGCCACAGGATTTTACACGCTGCGCAGACAGAACTGAAGCATGTATCAGTCTGATAACACCAGGTCTATGAAAACAAAGCCTATAACAAGCCAGGAATTAAAAATCATCATGGGAAACCAACGTACAGCAGTTGCACATACAGACACCAGTCAAGACAGTTTACTTCCCAACAAATTATAGTGCTCCAGAAACAGGAGATCCCTCCCCTTCCATGGAAACACAAACTGCATGGCTTTCTTATGTGCAAAGTCTTGCTTAATGTGTTTAAAATTCATATTTGCAAGCAGATGCAGGAATGAGAAACATGCTGTGGACATCCTCAAAGCTCTGTGCATGTGCTCGTGTGTGTGCATCGCAGAGGCACCTCAATCAGACATGGACTCAGGGAAATAGCATCCCTTCGGAAGTTTATCTTCAGCCTTTTCCTTCTAGGCTCCCTACCTTTCTGTCATCAAGGATTTGTAATCAGAATTCTTGCTAAGCTGAGCTGACCTGTTATACTGCAAGAAAATTTCCCCTTAAGCTGCCATCAGCATTACTCTGCTGTTTGGGGTGAAAGCATTGCACACCCGAGGGGCTGCACCAGCATGTCACTGAACACAGTGCAGTGGCAACAGAAGTCAAGTACTTCACTTACTTTGAATAGACTGCAAAGTTACTCAGTTTTCCTCAAGAAGAATAATTTGTGTTCCCTATTTCTGGACTGTCCATGCCAGCCCCCATCTGTGCTTCGCCCACAGTGAAGCCCTGGGGAGATGCAGAGCTGCTCCCCATCACTACACAGGCAGCACATTTCGCTGCTGAATCACAGAATGGTTTGGGTTGGAAGAGGCCTTTGTAAGTCATCAAGTCCAACCACCCCTAGAACTAGCAGGGACACCTCCCACTAGATCAGGTTGCTCAGAGCTCCATCCAGCCTGGCCTTGAACACTGCCAGGGATGGGGCAGCCACAGCTTCTCTGAGCAACCAGTGCCTCATCACCCTCATCATAAAAAGATTCTTCCTTGTATCTAGTCTGAATCTGGTTTCTTTCAGTTCAAAGACATTAGTCTGTGTTTTATAGCTACAGGCCCTGCCAAGAAGTCTGCCTGTCTCTTTCTTATAAGCCCCCTTTAAGTATTGAGCCAGACTGAATAAAACTAGCTGTACCAATTGCAAATAGAAGACTTGAAAAGCATTTACTCTAGGAAAGGTCAGCCACACAGGGCATCACCACCACCAAGTGCTTCAGCACTGCTGGAGCTTTGTCAGCAGTAATGTTTGTCCTGGAAATGGCTTTTAGGAAGACAGCTTGTGTGCAGGGGCATCCATAGCTGAGTTCAGAGCTGGAATACCCACTCGAGAAGCAGCTTCCAGGGGTGCTCCAGCTTTAAACAGCCCTCGGTTCCCCTCACAGCTCCTTCTCCTGTGCCTCCAAGCCAGCACTCCCACGTGAGTGCCTGGGCAGCTGCACTGTGAACCCAGGCAGGGGACGGGACTGACCCGAGTTAAAAATAACACTCTTTCTGCAAGCTTATTTTTAACCCAGCTCAGTGCCTGGATCCAGCTCACCTTGCAGCTGCCCCAGCTGGGGCAGGGAAGGGGGCAATTACTGGGGCTGCTGGAACCAGCATCCTGATTACAGGGCTAACCAAAAGCTCTTATTCTACCAATGCAAGTAATAATTACAAACCTTGCAGCTATTTCACTCGCAAAACCGGTTTGGGGAAGTCACATTTCTAAGGATTAATTCTGAAAATGAGGGATTTACTGGTGACGTTTAAAAACAATAATTAGTCTGGGGTTCTGGCGCATCAGCTCCTCCTAAATGAAAAGCAGCTTCTGGGGAAAAAGAAATCAGACACGAGCTGTAGCATCCTAAAAGTTGCATCAGGACCAAAACCTCAAGTCTGCTCCAAGCAAGAGGGGCCAAAAGATGACTTGTCATAGCAAAGTGCTGCTGTATGTAAGGGGGAAATATGGATCCTTTAAGCTGTAATTAACCAGTAGAGGGCAATATTGCCTATCATGAGGGTCAAAGTTAATCAGGAAAGTCACTGCCAACTTGTATTTACTCAGTAATATATCCATTTTGTACGTCTAAGGCAAACCCCAAGTACAATTCTTAGACTAGGTGGGTGCTTTGGGGCAGCCGCCAGCTAAACCAAGGGGTCCATGTGTGCTCCTGGGAAACGGAGTTAACACAGGAATAACAGCACTAAGGCAGAGGATATTCCAGGTGAGGTGGGACAGGTAAGGCACGGAGCACTTCACAAAGAACAGGGGCTAGCATTACTGTCTTGTTACATTTAACATTCATGTACATCCTGGAACTGACCTGAAATCCTACCAGGAATCAGCACTAATTAATGGCAAGATAGTAATTAACAGGAACACACTGAACAAACCAGGGTAAACATCCTGAGGATATCGAACCACTGATTTACATTCACCATGTCACTTCCCATGCAAGAGGAAGCAGAACCTCATGGTTCCCGCACGGCAGCCCTACCGCTCGCGGGCTATTTTCTGACACACCTAACCAAAAGAAAAAACACATGGAAACCAGGATTTTCCCCTGCATTAGGAAACAAAGAGTGGGCACACCGGTTTGCTCAGTCCAAAGGAAGACTTCCTCAAGGCCATGAACACCACACAGCCCTTCCTGTAAACGGCATCAGAAGATGTGACTGCTGAAGGACATCTGGCTTTATCCAAGGACACAAGACGCTCCGAGCTCAGCTCCAGCCAGCCAGTTGTGCAAGGGTAGCTTGCAGCAAACTTACTGCATTCAAATCTTTCTTGAACGATGGCCAGCAAAGTGTCTAATACTTTAAGACTTGAAAGTTACGGGGCAGGAAGCCTGAAGCTCAGAGCAGGACACTGTATTGCTGCTTCTAGAGAAGACTCAACTGGAAGGTTGAGCTGCTACTGATGCCAACTGACAACACAAGAAGGCTAAAGAAAAAAAACACTTTGCTTGACTTTTCCCCTGCCTCCTATTACAATAGCTTGGAATTTACCCTATGCCTATAAGAGAGCACTGGGGTTTCTGATGAGTCAACTGATTAGTCAGGGACTGTTGACAAGGTTAAGACTTATAACAGGGGCAGTTTAGGTTGGATGTAAGGAAGAAGTTCTTTACTGGAAGAGTGGTGAGGCACTGGAAGGGGTTGCCCAGGGAGGTTGTGAATGTTCCATCCCTGGCAGTGTTCAAGGCCCGGCTGGACAGAGCCTTGGGTGGCATGGTTTAGTGTGGGGTGTCCCTGCCCATGGCAGGGGAGTTGGAACTAGGTG